TACCATTTGCTAATATTTTCAGGAATGGAAATATGTTGTTGATCTCGCGTATCACGTAAATGTACACCTCCGCCAAGGGTATCGTGCAGCATGCAGTGCATGCATCATTAGGCCGAGCTTCGTGCATCGCGATCGGTCATTCGTCTTCCACCGAAGACGTCGTGAAGGCAAATCAGCGCGCCCGCCGACGGTTTAATCAAAAAAATTACATTTTCATCGGCAAAACACCGATGAGGTATCGCCCCCACCTCTTCACTCAAGACGGTTGCATGACCGTAATATGTTTTAAGCTGCCGCTCGTGACGAGAAGCGGACCGCGCACAAAATACATGTGCACTTTGTTATTACTAATCTCGCTTCGACAGGAGAGAAAGAGAGAAAGAGAAAGAGAGAGAGAGAGGAAAAGAGAGAAAAAGGGACAAAAAAATTTAAATTTAATCACACCCGCTGTGGCGGTTCGATAAACTCGACTCGTAGCGGCGATATGTTACCGGCGAAAAACTACCGGCACGGGAGGGTTTAGCCTTTTATGCGAGCGAAAAATCCCTCGACCCCTCTTTCGGCCGTCAACCTCTCGACCGGAAGTATTTAATTCCATAACGAACTGTCCTATATCGCGCGGGCTCTTTTTTTCGGCGACCGCCGGTACTCAATTAAATCGCAATTTTTTGCTCGCGCGGCTTGATCGTCGTCGTTATCGCGAAAGTACGGATGGCAATCATCCGCCGATCGACCCGAACAAGTATTTGGCTTGATTAGCGAACGCTCCTAATTGCTTCATTAAAAAAATTATCACTCTAATTTTTTTCCAAATTTTCAAGAAATTATTTTTTACTTTCGTTTCTTAAACGAAGCAAATAATACTTTTTTTTGCTATTTGATAAATATAACAAATAAAAATATTGGAAATATGAAATAAGATTTTTGATAGTTTAAATTTAATCTTTATATACACTTCGCTAAACTATTGAACGATTTGTTGAATAAATCACTTTTTTCACTAACTACATCTAAGACTTAACAAATTCGATATTAATTTTCTATTATTAAAGATTGATTGAGAATAACGAGCAATGACTCATATGCGTACGTATAATATAAAATATAGCGCAACGCCTTCAATATTCAACAGTTTTTCACATCAGGTCGGAGGTGACGTCTCTGATGGCGTCAAACCGCCGTTCGAAAGTTTGCTTAGTGTTTTACGATAGAGTTGTTTCTTCAAGAAGCTAGTTACTAGTGTTTGCTCGTGAGATCCCGTGGCGAAGAACTCAGACGTTTAATCTGGCAATGGTGTCGCGCAGTATAACACATCTCAAAAGTAATATTTCCTATTTGGCGAAAATAAGAACTAATTTTGCATAAGTTTCGCAGAATTAATTTTCTTTTCCACTTTCGACTAAGATTTAAAATTTATCCAATTACTTGATGTATTATCTTTATAAACTGTATAACATTAAAGTTTATAATTTATAATAAAAACTTTATATAAGAAGTTCCTACTTATATTGATTTTGTAAAAATAATTTTTATAAAAATGTATTTAAATTATTAAAAACATTTAATAATTAATAATTAATTCTATGAATTTTAACAAAATTTTGCAGATATATCTTCCAAAATAATCTAACTTATTCTACTGATTATTTAAATTGACATATAACATTAAATTTTTTATTTCCGTTTTTTTCACCGTTATTTCCGTCAAAAATAAAGGAACATATGTAATATGAAGAATGCGATATGCCAAGTTGGTATCAGGTGTCATATAGCTATTCGCGAAGTATCATAGGTTAAATATTAAAAGCATGCTGTTCTACGAAGAACGAAGTCTGAATGTCTGATAAGTTTCGGACTGCACTACTGCGGTGCAAGTCAGACGTCTGTATTCGCTTGTATTCCTGAAAGATCGGATGGAAAATTCATAGCAGCCGGCTGCGAATTGCCGAACGTATTAAATACTGAATATTTCTCTTATAATACTTATATGTTTAAATATTAATTGCTAATGTTCAAGAAAACTATCAAGTAAAAATATTTTAAGTGCTAAAAATTAATAACAATTTACGATAATCCTATAAATTTGCATCTTTTCATAATAAATAAATCCCATTGAAATATTCTAAAACTAAATATTTCATACACAATTCTTATAAATATATTGATTAGTAATACATTAGTCCAAATTTTTCCTGCGATTATTATTAGCGAAACAATTGCGAAATAAATTAAAACTCATTCCATTAGATGACTCATAAGAAAGCATATCAACTAGCCATCCGCACAATATTACTTTAAAAATATAAGAATAGGAATGTGAATACCGTAAAATCGGTCGATTAAGTCAAGTCACCATATCTAAATGACTGATGGAATCATAATGGATTAATAATGATATACATGTATATGCGATTTTTACAAATAAGATTGAAATACCTGACCAAGCTATTGGCTGGAAAGCCAGAGACAATTCGTATCCTTTGATCGACAGCGATACGAGAGGGCCGAAAGGATCGGGCAGATTAATGACTGCGATAGTTTTCGGCCGGTGGTGGAATCGCGTGACGAACGTCGACGTATGATCGATTGTCGGTTCGGGCGTCGATACGTCGGCTCGAGGGGAGGGAATGAACGTGGCCGGTAAAGAAAAAAAGAGTATTAAGAGAAAAACGAGAAAATTCCATCGGCCAAAATGTGCGCGCGCACAGGGAGCGCCAATATGCTCTCTCCATCGTTGAGTTCATAGCCCTTCAATCTTGCTCGATTCATCGTTCACTTTTATTTTATTGCCGCGACGGGAGCAAAATCTCATAATCTTCTGCCAAACATTGCGCTATATTTTTTATTATACATCTGTTTTATCTTGGATCGAATAAATCGTATCTTTAAGCTATATTGAATACAAAAGAGATAACGTAAATGTAATAATATTTATCTTAATTATCACCTTTGTTTAAATATATTATAATTAGTTAATTCAATATGAACATAACAGGGCGATTAAAGTTAATACCGCGTAATCGGTGATCGATTAGAATTATGATATTGCTGTTGTTAAATTTTAATAATCGCCGTACATTGTTACGATTTCATCGGTACTGTACGAAAGATTGAATAGCGTTCGCTAAATATAAGATTAATAGCAACAATCCGAATTGATTTGCGTATTATTGTGAATTGTGAATTTCGTTCAGTTGCAAATCTATATATGAAGTTTAACTTTATTTTCTACATGGATATACACAATAAATTGCAATTTTCCTACCAGGCAAATTATATCCCACAGTTTCATTTTAGCACACACACAATCAAAAGGAAATACAAAATTGTATTCTCACATTGAAATTCGAGTAGAGCAACAGCAGCTGTCACTTCTATCGACAGTTTTGAAATCCGAAATGAGTAATTAACAACTAGGGTTCATCAGCGCAGCTCTAGACTCAAATTCGCATTTCGAATCGACTATTAATGGTCGTCGCTGAAATTTACGACGCTACTGTACAATCGCATTTGAAATTACAACGCACGCGTAATAATTACCTAACTGACAGCCCGCACTAATAGCATCGCGAAATTTGCATTGCACCCAATGCAAACCTACGTTTCCGAATGTTCGCCGGGATACATCAGATGTACGCCCTAAAAACCGACGGAAGCTCTGTATGCACTGTCACATGCACAAGAGGTAAAAAAGATAATTGCTAAGTTTATTTCTTGCTAAGAAACTGCAATAAAAGTTTTATTATATGCCGAGAAATATGAATAATTAACTGTAATAAAAGAAAAAAAGATAGATGATTCAAAGAAATCTGCTGCAACTTTCTTTGTACGAAAATTGTAAGTATTAAAAATAACGATCAAATTTCTTCATAATTAAAAACGATCCAAAGTGATAGATGGAAAAATAAATGTCCCAAATTTACAACACATTATTTAAATCAATCTATTTGAATTTCATCATAACATAGTCTCCGATTCAAATTTTTTATATATCTCATATTTCTTGTGTACACAAAGCTCATCATTACGGAGGAAAATAATGATGAACATTTTCTTCGTCGTGAGTTTTTCGCCTCTTTGCATGCACGACGATGTTCACGGCACAATGAACGAGATTCGTGCGAACGAGACCGCGTTTTTCCCGACGCTTCCGAGACAATACCGCGTTCTCGTGCCGCGGCGTCCGGTGTTCGCCTTCGCGGCGAATTCTTTCGCGGCCAAGCCGCGATGAGAAACGACGTTTCACGGATGAATAGACAGACTCGTGCGCGAATATAGAACGCGCACGCGATTGTACGTTTAAGGCCGGTATCTCCGTTGTTTCCGCGGTGGCTTTTTTCGCGAGCAAACGCGCCTCTTCCTCCACTCAGACATCGACGTTCCGTTTCTCTCGCGTTCCATTTCCGTGCTTATAAACGACGTCTCTCTTAGACCGCGGCGAGTTATCGTCGCCTACAACGTGTGTGCGAAGGACGCGTCCTCAAAAGCGACTTCTCCAGGAATCTGAAGCGCCTACATTTCCGCTCCCGTTTGTTTCGATTTGAGGCCGTCGCGCGTACACAGGACTTTTAACGCTTTTTAGCGACAAACAAACACGTCGTCGTTTGTTCATGCCTTTCGTAACACAACTTGTCGCCGTCGTTGTAACACCATTGGCGGCGTTCCCTATTTCCCCCGCACTTTCTTCCACAACCAGAAAGCTCGATCGACCTCGTTTCACAAACGAGAACGGCGGAATACTCTCGATATAAATTTATACTCGTGCTTGTATGTATAGTAAATTATCTCATACTACGTTACAATTCTTAAACCATTTTATTATGTTTAATGATTATGGTTAATAATTTGATGTAAAATTTCAACTTATCTCGAAACGACTATTTTGAAGAAAATTATTTTTTTTCGCCAGAAAGTTATCTCAACTTTCACATTATGTTATTCAATTGATAATGTCAAAACAATTATATATATAAACCAGAAATAATTAATTTAACACTCACCAATATGTAGCGATGAAGAGCAACGATGAACAAAATTGCGAATGGTGCTCGATGGATCTGTAAAATATAAACAAAATAACCAAATTATAGCAGTTACATAATTAATATCTGAAAAATAATTACTGTGTACATTAAATTCTTTATTCATTTTCATCAAATATTTGATAAAAAAATATACAATTGCCAAAAAAATTAATTTTTATATAAATATTCGAAATAATCATAAATATTTTATTAAATATCCTGAGTATCTCATATTTTACATGTATTTATTCTACTGTACCACATAGCGATAACGTGTTGTTGAAAACAATTAATTTATCTCGAAAATAATAAACAATAAATTATTTGTTATTGCTCACAGTTGCTCCGACGTTTCCGAGCCTCTTCCTATTTTCTCGCTTCTTCGTAACACTCGCGACAACTTGGTTAATTACACGTGTATACTAATCATCAAAATACGACAATCGTGCGACGCTACTGACATTAAACACATTCTCGACGCGAATTTCATCACAACATACGATACGATGTCAAGGTAAATTACTCTCGTATGGAATAATGTTCCAATACTTGTTACGATTACGATTTGGGAGGTAATAACGTGATGATATGAAGCCGACTATCGTTGTCGCCTGCTCGATTAACGCAATGTGAATGATAGCAATATGACTGGAGAGAGAGAGAGAGAGAGAGAGAGAGAGAGAGGAGAGAGAAGAGAGAGAGAGAGAGAGAGAGAGAGAGAGAGAGAGAGAGAGAGAGAGAGAGAGAGAGAGAGAGAGAGAGAGAGAGAGAGAG